CATCTATATTCAAAAATCTCTTATTGTCATGATGCCAACGTATTAGTTGGGGAAGCTGATTTGAACGAAGGGGAGGGGAAAGGAAGCCAGCCTGAGAAGGGCTGAGTTGGGCAAACTTCATAAAAGACCCATAATGGCCATCAGGAGGCCTAACTTGAGTAAGTGTTGCGATAGTTGTCACTCAAATAACCTCACTCAGTAAACATTTATCTTATTTATTTACTAGACAAGGCCTTATTTTGCAGTTGAAAAAAACAGAAACTAACAGAAACTAATTTCCCTTTCTCTTTTTGCGCAAATAAAATTTTTGTTGAGATGAAAAGCTCAAATTTTACTATGTAAATATTCATTGAATAATTCAGGATAACACTCTGAAGCTTCCTCGATTAATTCACGTGATATGGAACTACCTTGACTAAAGTACAGCCTCCATATCAGTTCTAATTATTCTTGGCAACACCATTGTTCCCCTAGTTCCAAAACATAATGTTAATGCCAAAATAACGATAAGCAGAACATAAGAAGCAAATCTGCATAGAAAAAAATTAGGAGGGCCAGAGAGCAGGATATACCAAGCAGATCCCAAAAAAACTGCTTATCAAGGATCTTACAATAAAAATTATAGTAAGAAGTAAAATTCTTAAAGACAGAAAAATGTGGCTTTGAACAATATTTTGTTTAGGGAAATGAGTTGACAGTTAACGTGCAAAATATACTACTACTTCGATTACGCTTATTTAGTTTCATAAATTTCTGGAAATAGTTTCCTTAACAGAAGTGTAATCTAATCTTACAAATGACTTAAACTGATAAACACATACAATAATATACTTTAACAGATTAATACTTCAGTAACTCAGATGATAAACAAATACTTGATTCGAATATAACCTTATTTTTACTGTTTCATTATAAGATTAAATATCCTCAGAAAAAAACCCCATGTTTCTCAGCTTAAACGAGGTTTAAGGATTTCTTGAGGAAATAGAGAGTAAGGATGACTTAAGAGATAGGAAAGATATCACCGATAATAACAAATTAGGGTAACACAAACCTACACATTAGTATCGCTATATGTGGAGGAGAGGAGGAATACATATGAGGTTTCCTGCGTCACTACAATATTACTGACTTTGGACATAATATTGGATAGCAAATGATCCCAAAATAATTGAAAGTGTAGCCTGAGAATCATGAACTCCAACACTTCAATTTACTTCAAAATTTGTAGAAGTAAAGAGCTATTC